CATACAACTCGTCTTTCCCAAATGTTGCCAACTACTCGAAAAATGACACCTTTCAGTTTTAATTTCACTTTACAAAATTCGACAACCGTAATTCAGGACAAGCAACAACGCAGGCAACCCTATACCCTATACCACCGTGTTCATAATGAAATAATCTTTATTTTCATTTCAATTTGATTAATTTATCAGACTGGTGCAAAATGCACTATCAATTTACCTGTTTATACCTGGCAACCCGAGGGTTATGACTGGAAAAGAATAGGCAACCTAACGTTTGCATAACTCTATGGGCTTCATTCTTTCGATTGGTATGGAATTTGTTTAATAGTCAAACCGATGAAATATTTAAAAGAAAATCTTTTTTTAATTATTAATTAATCATATCCTGGACTGAAATTTATTAGGCAACCCATATGCAATATAATTATTGACATGTTAAATTGAATATAAAATATGTTTCATCAAATAAGCATCTCGGTGAAGGTCGTTGTATAGCGGGATCATATACTATCGATGCTAGGAGTAAAGGCCAGCAGATTAATACTACTACTAGGGTAAGCGCGAGTGTGAATACGAGGGTAAATAAACCGAAGCGAAGAGAACTCTGCTTGAAGATGGGCGAACTTCCTCGCCGCGTCACACCAGGTGCGAATGAAATGTGCTCGCTCGTAGTTCACGGTTATTCCGTATGGATAAAAAAAAAAAAGCTCCTGTGGACAAAACAAAAATATTACCTATGGTTACCCTAAGGTAAGGATTATCCACAGTGAAAGTTTAAAACTAAACGTTCAATTTACAAGAAAATAACTACGAAATTAACAGTATTCTGAGGAATGTAGGTGACTGTTTAATCTAACTATTAAAAACGTTTGTTGAAGACAAAACGCCATCTAAACCGTTAGGTACTAAGTTAGGTCTCAAACATAAATGTCGAATTTTAGAGATAAATACTGAAAAATATATCAAAATAACCATTGGGAAACGAAGAACTAAGCTTGTTTTACATGTTATAAGCATTTATTGCAGACAAAACACTATCTAGACCGAGCTAAGTACTAAGTTAGGTCTCAAACGTAAATGTCGAATTTTAGAGATAAATACTGAAAAATATCGTCACCGTCGTGGCAGAATTAAATAACTGACAAAACCAAAGTTGCGAGATATTCACGTTTTTGTGGTTTTTTTCGTTAAAAATGGCGATAACTTTTAAGGGTAATTTTTTTTACTGTCGGTCTTTTGATATTTTATACAGCAATTTACCTTTATTAATTCAATATTCTTCGATGGTGTTACTTTGTATTATTTTAAATAAAAAAAATAAAAATGTAATTATTTAGTTCTGCCACAACCGTATTTTACAACTAAGTTGCAGTTATTTAGTTTTTGTATGTCACTTATTTAGTTTTACCACAACCAAGGTATTACAAAAACGAATATTTCTATTGAATAAGTACCTACACTTGTTTAATTTTGCCACACTTTTATTGACCTAAATGTTAATTTATTCATTTTATTTTATTTGTTTTGTTATTGCGATTTTAGTCAAAATGTGTAAAATTGTTAAATAATACTAGAACATAAGGCCTACTTATTTAATACCTATAAATGTTTAACAAATTGGTATGGTAACCATCAACATCAGATTCCTATAACATTGAAATTAAATTGAAAGAACCAACATCGAAATGAATATCAAAATTAAAACAATCCAAAACAATAAAACTGTAATAGGGATCTCTATCTAGGGATCCATAGGGATCCCTTACCCTCAACGTCATAGCAGAACGACGTTCAATGTCACTGCAGATCTCCGTTGACGCTAAAGCACATCGGCAGCTCAATAGACAGATATGGAAGTCCTTGCGAAATGATGTTCGCAACTTTAATACAAATAGTATTAAAGAGGCGATAGAGCGGAACCAAGGCTCGAAAGTGTTCGCAAGAGACAACTCTATTGGTCGAAGCTAGCTGACGAAGCTGAAGACTGCGGAAGATAGTGTAACGTCAACAAAAGCCGAGGTTCTGGGTGAGATTGAAAAGTTTTATGGACAGCTATATACCTCGACGAAGAAATTGTGGATATCAGCATTATCAGCCTATACGAGATTAGGATGACTCGCAAACACCTAAAGACCAACAAGGCACCGGTGTGGAACATCGACATTGAAGTCAAGTCCTTCAGAGACTATTTAACTTCGTCTTACTCCAGGGAACAACGCCAGAGGCACGGAACAGAAGCGTGGTGGTACTCTTCTTCAAGAAATGGGGATAAAACCTTGCTGAAGAATTACTGACCCATCTCGCTTCTGAGTCATGTCTACAAGCTGTTTTCGAAAGTTGTCACGAATGATCTCGCGCGTAGGTTCGATGACTTCCAGCCTTCCGAACAAGCCGGTTTCTGAAAAGTATCGGTACATATCGAGGTGCTGAAGTGCTTGTACACACACAGGAGTGGAGTACGAGGGCGATTCCTCTGCAGCGAGGCATGAGGGAGATGTTATATCTCCGGATCTTCGAAACTATTCACCGCTGTATTGGAAGACGCTTTCAAACTCCTTGATTAGAAAAGATCCGGCATAAACATCAACGACGAGTACATCACTCACCTTCGGTTTGCCGACGATATTGTGTGGTCATGGCAAAATCAGTGGGAGACCTCGGCACAATGCACGATGACCTTAATATCCCAAAAGGTAGACCTTCGGGTGAACAACATGGAAAAACGAAGCTTTTGTCGAATGTCTATGTTGCGCCCTACCCCGTTTCGGTTAGGAGCTCGAATATCGAGATTGTTGACAAGTATGTCTACCTCGGACAAACGTTTCAGCTAGGTAGAGAAAGAGGTCGAATCCAACTTGGCTGGGCAGCGTTCGGGAAACTACACAACATCCTTTCGTCCAAAATATCTCAGTGCCTAAAGACGAAAATCTACAATCTGTATGTGTTTTACCATTGATGATATACGGCTCGAGAACGCGACTTTCTTACTATAGGCCTTATAAATAAGCTCAAAGTTGCACAGCGTGCTTTGAAGAGGGTTATGCTCGGTTTTTCTGTACAAGAGACAGGGCAAATAATAGGCAGAACTGAGAAATAGAAGGTTCTGGAGAGGAGGGCACGTACCGGAAAGCACAACGTGGACTTCATAAAGGTAGCAGGAAAGCACTGGATGCAGACCGCTACCAGCCGGTCATATTGGAAATCATTGGGGGAGGCCTATGTTCGGCAGTGGACGTGGCATAAGGCTGAAATGATGATGATGATGAAGGTAACTATCCAGATTCAACATCTGAGTAATGAACATTGAAATTAAAAGTAACATTTAAAATAATGTTACAAAAATGAAATAAATCAAAAACACAATTTTACGAGTATTTTGAAGAAATGTTTCGGATCGAGTTGTGGCAGAATTAAATAAAGTCACTTATTGACTTTCTTAGTACAAGTATTTTGAAGCAATGTTTCGCAGTGAGTTGTGGCAGAATTAAATAAAGTCACTTATTCAGTTTTGCCACGTAAATTCTACAACAAATAGAGTTGTAATTTATGGTCAACAGTTTCACTCAACTGAAGATATCTTTGGAAATATCATAGATATTATAAAATTATCACTTCACGGGATTTATTGCAACAATATCTATTTTAACGGTAAATAATATAGATGGGCCGACTAGTCGCCGACTAGTCGGGAAAGCCGACTATTCGGCATCATTTGTAGTCGGCCGACTAGTGACGACTATTCGGCAAAATATGCCGATTATAATCGGCGCATTACAAAATTAAATAAGTGAATGTCATAAGTCATAAGTGCCACTTGTGGTCTAAACTGAATAAATATTTTTTTGATTTTTGATTTTGATTTTGAATGAAATAAAACTCATAATCACCAAGATGATTATGAGGTAGACCAAGGGCGTTTATCTTAACCACTTTTGACTGCAAAAATCAGTCAAAAGTGGTTTCACCTGATTTAAAATTTTGGCAATCAGTCTAAATTCATACAAAGTTAAGATTAGTTAAAAATACCAGGAAATCATCACAACGTGTAAAGTTTATGCAATTTGTCCATATAAAAATTATGACACTTTTTTCGGGGAAAAAATGCATGGAATTGCATACCTACCCTGCGGGGAAGTGGTAGATTATGTGGGGCTCCTCTCATCGGAAATATTAGGAATACCCCCATAAATAACCCCTGAGATCCTTCAATCGCCTTAGTGTGAACAACTATGGGAATCCGGACAAAGCCATCAACTATCACAGTCCGTCCCGGCAATTGCCCACCTGTATGGCGGGCCCTGCCTATCCGACGGTGGTGGTAGTCCGTGCTATGCAGGCGGGGGTACCGACCCCCACGACCTCAGCTCGCTGACCANATAAGTACTAAGTTAGGTCTCAAACATAAATGTCGAATTTTAGAGATAAATACTGAAAAATATATCAAAATAACCATTGGGAAACGGAGAACTAAGCTTGTTTTACATGTTATAGGTAAGCGTTTGTTGGGGACAAAACACTATCCAGACCGAGCTAGGTATTAAGTTAGGTCTCAAACATAAATCCTTATTTTCTGGAGAAACCAAGTACAGACTTGCCAAAAACGGTTACTCAAGGCGTAGTGGTAGGTAAGTTACAACTACTGAGAGCCCTAGTTACCATTATAATTCGATATTGAAGGAGCTAGGTCACTCGGAAAGTCTAGGACGTCCAACATGTCTGACCAAAAAAATACCTATAAAACCCAGTTATTCGTCGGCTATCTAAATATATAAAAGGAGAAACTGACTGACTGACTGACAGATCAACGCACAGCCTAAACGGCTAAACGTAGGCACTTGAAATTTGGAAGGGACGTAGCTTAGGTACCGTAGAGGTGCACTAAGAAAGGAATTCCCGAAATTCCCACGGGAACGGGAATTAGCGGGAAAAACGGGATTCACGCGTACGAAGTCGCGGGCGGCCGCTAGTTTCTTATAAAGTATAAAATATAAGGTTATTTACCTGTTAAGGAGTCAAAAAAAACTTGGGAGCCGTCAGAAAACGCCTTCAGTGACCGCACCAACTCCATCCTGAAAATCATTCCGAAAATACAATTAAAACCCATTTAACTCGCAGTGAATCTTTTTTAAAATGATACATACCTGAAGATCAGTTCAATAACTTATGTAAGAAGATAACTTTTGAAAATGAGCCACGCGCAGGTTTGCAATTTACTATGCAAATCAATGCAAATCTGAAAAAAACAGAGATTTGTAAGATTTGGGAACAACCGACAACGACAATCGCAATTATATATATATACTTACCAATGCCAAATTAGCGATATCTTGCAAGAAATCTCAGTATTATCTACAAATTCACATTTTAAATGGGAGCGGCGGCGCCAGCCGGCAAAAGAAGAAAAAAAATGGCCTCATGTCACCTCTTTTTAATGAATACCTTCGACGCAGGCAAAAATAATAATTATCTCATTCAGCCTAGTCAACATTCTAATAAAAATATTTTTTTTAATAAAAAAATTAAGGGTTACAGGTTATAACA